AGGATTTGGAGAGAAATGAAGGGAGTTCACCTACACAGGGCCATCTGCAGGGTCTGCGAGGAAAAAAGAGGAAAGCATTGGTAGGATCCATTTCCAGGCAAGTAATACTGAAGCTTATGGTACTTACTGGCACTAAAGCCATCAGTACCAATAAGGGAGCCTTTGGGAGACCCCTTTCCTACTCTCCTCAGCACCCTCAGCCCAACACTCCCCCCCACCAACACACACACTTACCAGTAGGGGCTGCTGTATGTCTTTGCTGCCTCAAGGGGAAGGTGATGTAGGCATCATAGCCAAAGAGGCTTGTAGCAAGTAGGCCCAGTACCTGAGGGTGGGGGTGGGAGTGAGGGAGGTTGGATTACGTGGTCAACCTACTCCGCCTCTTGTTTCCTTGTATCTACCACCTGCAGTGACTGCCCCCATGCAGGGATGGTGACTAAAAAACCCAGATCAGGAAGCCAGAGAGCCCCAGGGACAGGCCAGGAGACTGGTATCGACCCCACCCTCCCTCCTCCTGGAACCTCTCAACACAGGGTAACCACATGGTGGCCGCACATGTCAGTGGCACCATTCACACTGTACATTTGAGACAAAGTTCTAGCAGATGGTAGTCTCACGTGTTGACAAAGAGGCCGCCTCTTTGTGCTTCCCACAAAGGTCCCTGTGTTGGACAAGGCATGGCCTTTTACAGCAAATGATGATCTTGGGAGGAGAACCAGAGCCTGGGCCAGACTTTACTGCAGGCTCCGAGGACAAGCGTGGCCTGCTACGGGCCACACACTTTCCTGCCAAAAGCAGAGGCAGAACTGGGCCCTGGATTCTCAAACCCCTCTGTCTTTGCCTTGGAGCTGCCTCTGTGGCTTTTACCCCTGCGATGATTTTGGAGTGGTTTCCTCCCTCAACAAGGACAACAATGGAGGTGATCAGGTAGAGGATGGCCGCTATGAGGGTTCGGAAGAAATCCTGTGAGGCGTGGGGAGAAGAGAGGAAGTCAGCATCCAGAGTTACCAGGATCATCCCCACTGCCCAGGCCCCTTCCTAGCCTTGCCCCTTTCTCACACTCCAAGGCCAGTTGATGAACTGTATCTTGGTGTGCAGGTCGCACATGTAGATGACAAAGAAGATAGCAGCAAGGATCATCTCGACCACCGACAGGGAGGAGTATCCTGGTGTGGAGGCACTGAAGCAGATCAGAATCACCAGGCACAATATCTGGAAGGATGACAGGGGAAAGCCCACCCCCCCACCCGGAATCAGCGCCCAGGGCTGAGGGGATGGGTTTAAATTGGAGGTCTCAAACACTCCGATGATCCCTATCAGGACTGGAAAGATGACAAACACTAATAGCTAAACGTTTACTGTGTGCTCATTGTGTCCCAAAAGCTGTTCTAGGGACTGTACAAGTATTAATTTACTTAATCATCAGGACAACCCAATGAGCTGGGTACTGTTATTAGTATCTTTATTTTACAGATGAGAAAAGTGAGGCAGAGAGGTTAAGGGACTTGTCCAGGGGCACCTAGTAAGGGGTAGAGCTGGGTGCCTCCGCTTCCCCCCACCCCTTCCCCTTCCACATAGGGGCGGGCTACAGGGAGTGGTGCCGCCAGGTGTTTGGTGAGCACGGCTGCGGCCAGCTTCAGGGCCTTGACAGGGGCGGAACCTGCGGTTCCCTCGGCAACCCCTTTGGGAAGCGGTGAGAGTGACACCGGAGGGGCAGGGCTCTGTTAAAGGCGTCGCACCCCTTTTACAAGTGAATCAAAGGCGGCGCCCACTTTCAGGGGGATGGGAAACCCAGGCTCCCCGAGCGGCCCGAATAGCTTAGGGACCTCCTGCCCCACCACAGAAGGGCGAGGAAGAACTGGTAGAAGGGCGGACCGCCCGACCCCATAGGACCAGGGCTCAGGGCCCCACCCCAGTAGGCCCCGCCCCTGGGCGCGCAGCCAGCCCGCCCGCCCGTGCCCAGGCCGCGCCACTCCCTGCCACGGGAGGCCCCCCGCCTCCTAGCCCCCTGGGATCCCTCCGAAGGAGCCCACCGATGTGTCCACGCGGTCTCCATCCACAGGGCCCCCCATATGCGCTATGGGCCCCTCGCGTCACTCCGTGGCTCAAGCGGCTCCTGACCACCTTCTCCAAACCCCCCTGGCTCGCCCCGAGCCCCTGGTTTCGGGCCTCCACCACTAACCCACCCACCCGCGCCCCACTGCGGAGCGCCTCTAGGCCCGCGCCTGCCTCACCCGGGGCCTCTGGGCTCCGCGTGGTCCAGCCACTCCACCCTGCCTTTGCCCACCCGCCTGTCCCGGGACGCTCACAATCTCGGCAAACAGGAGAATTCCCTTTCGGGTGCGCGAAAAGTTGGTGCAGGCGGCCCAGCAGCCGGGGGCCGAGAGGCGCTCAGAATCCGCCATGGGGTGGGCCGGAGTCCCTAGGGGCGCGGAGTATCTACTCGCTTGCTCGCGGATTCCAAGACGCTGCACACCCTACCGTCTTGCCCGCCGTCTGGCCGGGAAGGGGGCCCCCGGGGCGAAGGAGGGAGTGAATCACCTCTCGGAGCAGAAGCGGGCGGGGCCGGAGGGGGCCGGGCCAGGTGGCTGCCGCCCCGGAAGCCCCTTTGCCCCGCCCGCCAAGGATACTCCCTGCCGGGCGCGTAGCCCCCAGGGCGCCCCACCTCCGGGGGCGCCAGCCTTTGAGGCTTGGCAGTTCGGGGTACCATGTGCGGTAATGGAGAGGTCTTTTGCGCTTTCGGAGTAGGAATGCTTTCGGTGCTGCCTCAATTCAGAACCTCGGGGATCTGGTTTGGGGGAAGCACATGACTCAGTTTCCTTAGCTGTAAAAATGGCTGAGGCCGTGGCTAAACCCAGGGTATGTTTCCAGAATTCTGAATATTTCGGATCTTAGAAAGTTGTGTATTTCATAACACTCTCAGCGAGGTCTGAGGCAGCCCCGTTTTTTAAAAAAAAAAAATTTTAAATAGGGGCGCCTGGGTGGCTCTGTCGTTGAGCGTCTGCCTTCGGCTCAGGTCATGATCCCAGGGTCTTGGGATCGAGCCCCGCATCCGGCTCCCTGCTCAGCAGGAAGCCTGCTTCTCCCTCTCCCACTCCCCCTGCCTTTGTTCCCTCTCTTGCTGTGTTTCTCTCTGTCAAATAAATAAAATCTTTAAAAAATCTTTTTAAATAAACACCTTAATATTTATTCAAGAAAAGGGGTAGAAGTCGTTCACAATAAGTGGGATCAGCCAGAACTGAAAATTGTCCCTCATTAAGTCATGTTAAGTTTTGTAACCAAATGGTGCCCAACACGTGGGAAAGCTATTTCCAGAGCTTTGTGGACTTCAAATTTCCGGTGAAGGATCATAGTGGGTAGAATAAACCTCTTAGCAGTGATGGAAATGAGACTGCACTAGCTCACAGGCTAAGAGAGAATAGGGCTTGGTGAGCATCAAGCTTCTCAGTAAATGGGAACAGACATTATTAATGGTGTCACAACCCAGGGGCTGACTCTCTGTTCTGCAATCCTAGGGAGGCCCTGGCCCCAAGCACTGGGCCTGTTTCCTGCTTCTAAGGAGAGGGGCCACCAGCACCGCCCTAGATGAATAAAGATGGGAAGGAGCCCAGGTTTCTTTACTGCTGGAAGCTTGGCAAGATGAGAGGTAGGCTCTTGGGGTGCCGGTCTAGGGGACAAGGCTGATGACATTTGAAGTGTGTTATCCTAAGCAAGCCATTTCCCCTGGCTCAGCCTTGATTTCTGCATCTGAGACAGGCACCTGGTCACAGGAATCAGGATCTCCCTGGAGATAATGCTGAGAATCACACTCTCCAGATTGGACGTTGGTTTTATTCTCATCCCATTTGAGGGAAGAGTTGTGGCTGGAAGGCCAACACAGTTAAACCCAAGGGCCTGCCTGCACCACCACCCCTCAACCTGGGGCCCCTCAAAACCAAAGAAAGGGGCACCCTTCTATCAGTCCAGGTTGCTGAGAGTGGTTGGGTGGTGGAAGGAATGAAGCACACTTTTCCCAGTGTGTGCTTTCCAACTCTGTGAGGACATGTCTGAGTTTCTAGAACAAAACAAACTCTGCTCCACCTCGGGGCCTTTGCACTTGCCACTCTCAGGGCTGTCAATGCCCTTCCCCAAGCTCTTCATACATGTGGTTTCTGGTCATTCAGGTCCCAGCTCAAATGTTGTCTTCAAAGAAACCACAGCCCACCATCATTACTTCCTCCAACATAACCTCCTTTTGCTATCTTTATAACTCTGACTTCTCTCTGAAGTTATCTTTTATTTATTCATTTTCTTTTCTTTCCTTTTCTTTTCTTTTCCAACATAGGTCTACACAAGGTTAGAAATCTTTTATGTTTTGTTTTACCAGCATCTCCCCAGTGCCTATCACAGTGCAAGGTAAACAATTGGAGCGCAATTATTACTTATCAAATGCAGGTGAGATTAAAAGGACTGGCTCGGGAATCCAGCCTTCATTAAATCTTGCTTCAACCCCCTCCCTCAAGCCGTTTATACCGTCGGGACCTCACTTCCCTCCCCCCCCCCCGGTGAAACAGACATGTCAGGATTGTTGAGCAGATGTGTAAGGAGATGAAAATAGATACTGCAAGTAAAGCCAGTAGCTGGAATAAGGCTAAGTAAATGGTGGCTGGGGTTACTATTATTAGTCTCCTGGGTGTGACTGTGTTTATAGGACTGGAGCTCCTTACTTCCCTAGAGCCACACCTCCACCAGGCTCTGAGTCAAGGGTAGCTGGAAGCCCCAGCGCACTCCTCATAATGTCCACAGTGATGACCATTCAAGTGTTCACCTCTTCACCTCTTTATACCCCAGCTCCCAGTCTGGCTTTGAGGTCCCTCTCTCCCAGCGTCAGCCTGGAAATTCACACTCGGGTCTTTTAATTTGTCTCCCCTCTCGGGTGGGAGTTGCCCATTCCCGCCTGACCACAACTTCCTTCACTGGGGGGTGGGGGGGTGGGGCCAAGTATTCAGGGTGTGGTGACAAGCGGAGGTGACTGGACATTTCGGGCCTGGGCCAGCGCTGGCTTCGGGGCTATCCCGGTTGGAGTCCCGCTGGCCATATAAGCCCTGCCTTTAGGGCTCTGCTCCCAGGATGGAGGAAACTCTGGCCTCTCCCTGGACCAGGAACGCCCAGCATGTGGCGTGTGCACACAAGCCTGGCTGCAGTTCGTCACCATCTATGGAAGAGGGGGCGCGGCTCAAAGGTTCTAACAGCCTTTTTTAGCCCAGCCCGCTGACTCACACCTTGCCGGCTCCGCCCCAAAGGGGGCTCCAGGGCCCCAGCCCATGCCCTAAGGGTGGCAGTCTACGTGCCAGCGAAAGCTGGCCGACTAAGGCCGGAAATGAGAGACCACAGGCTCCTGGTGAAGGAAGCCACCCTGGTTCTAGCCTTGCTCTCGGGCCATCAGCTGAGGTTCTGGACGATTCCTGCATGGGGCTGTGGGTATTCAGGTGCACTCCCGCTACAACGGCCCACCTCTGCATTCCCCACGCCGGGAGCAAAGATTATCCGTGAGCCCCTCACACCTCCCCAAAAGTGAAATGAATGAACGCGGAGAGAAGCAGGAGTTGGAGAAGAAAAACGGAGTGGGGAGAAAGCACGCCAGGCTGAGGATCGGCACAAGCGGACCCTGCTTAGAGGCCCACAGCACAAAGTAAGCTTGTCAATGGTTACAAGAAGAGGCCCTCCTTGAAACCAGATCGACCCACCCCCTCCTTTGCGGGATGAACTCAGGAGCCCCACCCGGCCTAGAGCACCTGGCAAGTCAAGACTGGGTCAAACCATTTTATTACCTCCCCCACTCAAAACCAGAAGCGCAGGGCTGGCCCGTCCGGAGGGCTGTACCACTGACACCGCGGGGGGAGCGCGGGCTGGTCCGCGGCGCAGCAGGAGTGGGGGTGGGGCAGGACCAAGTGGAAGCTCTCCCAGGGATGCTAGTGTGCGGTCGGCGGAGCACACCAGATCCAGGCTGGGCAGTACCAAGTGAGCATCGGACCGTCCCATACCTGCTCAGTGCCTCCGCCTCCCGGCTGCCGTCTCAAGAGCAAGCTGCGCGGCCCCTGGGATCCCTAGGGCCCGCGAAAGCCGTTCCTCACTCGGCACCAGCCAGGGTCCCGGGGAACCCGGGGTTCGGTCGTCAGGGTCCTCTGTGCGGCGCTCAGGAGGAGAAACCGCGGGGCAGTCGGCCAGCGGCTCTGGGCTAGGCTCTGGGCTGCCGGGGATTCGGGCCGCTGTACCGGATGGAGGGTGCTGAAGTGGGGAAGCACTGACGCTGCGAGACCTCATCACCTCTGGTCCACCAGGATCTGGGCTGCGATCTGGGGATGGCAGACCTGCGGGTTAGACTGGGCGATAGGGTGGGGAATGGAAAGCCGAGCCCCCGGGCTGAGGGCAGCGGGGAGACTCCAGGGGCTACAGGAGATAGAGACCCCACTCCTTAAAGAAATCTCCCTTTGAGGCCTGGACAAACCATTCAGGAACCGTTACCACCCCTCAAGATTCCCCCCACACACACACACAAACACACACGCTTTTCCTGAGACCTCCCCCCACATCTGGATCCAGAACATGCCCCCCCAAAATAATTTACCACAATCCCAAAGGAAATCAAACCCTGACCTTGACCTCCAGATGCTAAACCCCTCCCATCTAGGACCCCGGACTATCTGCCTCAACTCCCAACCCTTTTCATATGGACCCCTCAGCTTTGGAACTAGATCCCCCCGCACCCTCTGGATCCCCATCCCATCCTCTCCCTGCTGAGACCCACTCTGCCTTCTCATGCGAGGACCACAACTCTTCCTTCTAAACACCTGCTTTTACCCCAGACCTCTTTCCCCTTCTCTTCTCCCAGTACCTCAAAAGCCTCCCCTCTAAAATCTACTTTTATTCCTATCCTGGGACCCTGCCCTTCCCGATCCTGCTTTTGAGAATACCATGACCCCTCAGAGACGCTAAACTCTGACCTCCCCACTGAGACCACCAACCCCTCCCACCCTGGACCCCAGCCTCTCCACTTTGCAACCCTCTCCTTCCCCTCACGGCTCTCTGAACCCTGTCCCTCGGGAAACCCACCATCTCCTTTCTGGGGCCCTCCCATCCCTTCAGGTTGGCCGGGGTGGGTTTCAAGAGGCCTGCTTAGTACGAGGCGCAGACGGGGGCCGCCCGTGCGAATGCGCTCCACCACCTGGGCATGGGTGAGGCCCTGAGTTGACTCTCCATTGATGTGGAGCACGAGGTCCCCAGCCTACAAGAGTGCAAAGAGAGGGGTATTGTAGAAAGCAGATAGAGAGCACCCCGACAAAGGGCGAGGATTGGGCTAGCACTGTTGAATGGACAGCGTCTTATACCTCACCTGCAAGCGACCAGAGCGCTGTGCTGGCCCGTTTTCCAGCAGCCCGCGCACTGCCAGAGGAGCATCCCCTGCTGAATCTCGGCCTCCGCTTAATGTGAAGCCAAAGCCCGTGGAACCGCGAACCAGTTCCACGCAGAACCGTCCAGAGGTCTGGAGCGGCTTCGAAGCAGAACGTGCCTTAGCCTGGGTCACTTGGAGCGGCGCAGGACCTGTACCCAAGGTCTCTGACCGATGATGCTGGAGTAAAAACACAAGCGTACATACATTGCCAGTCTCAAAGCAGGTGGCATCCAATAAAAGGGCGAGTTGGTACCTGCGGCCGGTGTTCCACGAAAGTGGGATTAGGCAGGCGACTGTCTGTAACCTCTATGTCCGCAGAATCCAGCACACTAACGGCTGGAAGATGAAAAAGACAGTCAGAGGGGTACTCTATGGAAACCACCTAGGACCTGCCCCCTGATTTAACATTCTAGCCTCACCTCATTTCCTTGACTCTAGAATGGAGACTGACACATCCACCCATTTAACTGGGCTCAGCCCACATGAATAACTGACCTGAGCCCGACTTTTAAGTAGTAATCCTGGGCCCAGCTATTTGAATACACCTCCAGACCATCCTATAGTCCTCTAAGAACGCGAAGATCCCTCTCCTTATATTACATCCTTAGGCCCCCCACTGCGGGGGGGCGGTGCAAATCCACGATTGGGTTCCGGAACTCTTCAGGCTCCGCCCTCTAACTGGCCTATAAACTTCAACCCGTTCCTGACATTTCGATCCCTCCCCCTGGCGTTTGTAGGCTCCACCCCCTAGAGTGGATTTTTTTTTCCAGACCCGCCCCTCAGCCAACTGCACGCCCCCAACACTCTCCAGGCCCCACCTCCTCAGAAATGCCTTGCGAAGCCCCAGCGCCAGGGATAACCATCCAGCCCTGCACCCACAACTAGCCATGGAACATTCACCCACCGCAGTAACTTTCCCAGGGTCACCTCCTGGAGGAATAGTCTAGGATAACGCCAAGGCTCCGCCCCTCGAAGCTCCCTCCAAGCCCCGCCCCGCCGCCAGTCGCACCCATTAGCCCCACCCAGGGGAGTAACTAACAATCCCGGGTCCTCCACTTCGGAATCCGGCTCCACTCAGACCGCGCCCCCCGGGAGGCCCCGCTCCGCCCCCGACACGCACCCGCGTTGGGGCGCAGGCGCAATGTGGCGCCCGTCCTGCGTACCAGCGCCGCCACGTCGGCTGCAGCTCGGGCCGCCAGGGGGCGCGCGTCCAGCCGCGCCAGGAGCTGCCGGGCTCTGGGGCCCGCCCGCTGGGGAAGGCCCCGGCCTGCGCGGGTGGAAAGAACAAGTCAGCACCCGCCCGAGCCTCGGCGAACCCCCACGCTCCCCGACGTCCGAAACCTACAATGCCCCTCAAGATCTTCGGCGCCCCCCCGACCACTCTCTCGATAGTTTCGGAGGTCTCCCACTGCCCCTCTCAACTCCCGCGACCCCCGACCATCGCGGGTATGCCCGTGGACCCCCGCCTGCGCCCACGATATCCCTGGAGAGAGCTATCTGACCGAAATATTCCTGGACACTTCCCAACACCCTGGAACTATCTCTGGAGGTCTCCGACTGCCCCTTCATAACCAGATTCCAAACTCTTTCCGCACAGTAGCGAGAGGGACCCCGATTCCCCCAGATGTCCCGACAGAGGACGGTCTGCCCCCGCTGTGGCGCCGGCAACCCCGATTCCCCTTCCAGATATCCTAGGCAACCTTGATGGCCCACGGAGCTACAGTTGCCCCTCCATTTGTACCCAGAGGCCCCCCCCGCCTAACCGCCACCCACCCCCCCGCAATTCACTACAGACCCTGAGTGCCCACAGGTGTCCCCAGTGACCCCGGGCAGAGCCCTGTGGCACATCTCCCCGGAGACTCCTGAGAGCCTCCGGGTCTGGTGCGCAGCCCCACGGTGCGGGTGCGGGTGCGGGTGCGGGTGCGGATCGGGGACCTCGAGCCCAACGCCGGCCGCCCGGCGCCCGCCCGCCACTTGGGCGCCAGGGCTGCTTTGTTTACCACCTGTCGGAAGGAAAAGGTGAGGAGCAGACAGACGGGGCGAGGAGTGGCAGGGACGCGCCCAGTCCCCCCTCCCCCGTACCTCCTCTGCTCCCCCTAGGGTCCGTGGCGCCCCCCGCGCGCGGCTGCATGACCCGAAGTCCGCCCGGTGGACGCAAGACCGCCAGCGACGCGTTTGGAGCTCCTGGGCGCGCTCACCTGGCGACCCGCCCGGGCCTGGATGCGGCTGCGGCCGCCCGGTCCCGTGCCCGGAGCCCCGACCCGCGCGCTGACCTACCTGGCCGCCGGCAAGGAGGCCTGGCTGTGGGAGCCAGCGCGAGCGCTTGGCCTCGCTCTGCCTCAGGCGCCGCCTCTGTTAGCCCCGGAGCCTGGGCTGGGCTCCTTTTTCCACCCAGGAGGGGTTGTTAGTCCACGAGCGAGAAGGGGAAGTCGAGGCCCAGAGAAGTTAAGGGCCCCGCCCGAGCTCTGACAACTAAGAACGGGGGTGCAGAAGTGGAGCCCACGTTTACCAGGGAATTCTGCAGCCTGTAACGGAGCTTTGCTCATAGTAGGGCGGGCACTCAGTAAATTTGCAGAGACTGTTTTCTACTTGGGAAATGGAAGAGTCTGTCGGGCTGGGCGGCTGCGGGCGGGGTGGGGGGTGCTTGGAGCCTCGGGGGCCATGGGAAGGTTTGGGGCCCTGAGCAGGATAGGGCTGGGGGACTCCAAAAGCCGGGAAGGGCAGGTGCCCTGGAGAGTGGAGGGGCGGTAGGGGCCTGCACTTGAGGAGGCTTTCAAGGCCCCTGGGTGGGAGGGGTCGCCAGCCAATGAGAGGGGAGAAATGAGGCCCCTCTTAGGTACTAAAAGTGGGGGGTGGCCTGGAGACAGAGGTCCCGAGGGGGGAGCCCTTGGGCACAATGCTACTGTAGTGGAAGGAGGAATGGGGTGCGGTGAGAGACAGCCTGTGACCACCACTTTGTGGAGGAAGAAACTGGGGCCACAGGGGCTCGGACACCTACCTGTCCGGGACCCCACAGCCGGCCAACGACAGCAGGGGCCTCAGGCGGCTTACCCCCAACAATCACTGGGGCTGTGACTGTTTCACTATGGACACTGTGGACACTTTCACTGTGGACGCACCGTGTCCTGACGTCCATTCTGGGGGGCCGGGCAGCCTCTCTCGTCCACCTTTCAGGGGTCGGGTGTTGTTCTAAGTGAGGGGAGGGGAATGGTCCCTGCTTCCCTTCCTCCTGCAATCTCTTGGCCCTCCCGCCTCTGACCTGACCTTGTCTTGCGGGGGC